TATATAAAAGCCCGTCACAAGGAGGAGACTGCAAGATTTCCCCCATGAGGTGTCTTTCGCAGTGGGGGAGAATCACCACACACCCAGGAGATGAAGGGCAGCAGATAATTGTAACTGAAATGCCAGTTCAGTTTCCAGTTCCCTGCTCCCTAAGGGAGGAGATTGGAACTTGGCACCCTCTGGAGGGAGTTCCAGCTAGTAGGTGGCACTTGGGACTTTAAAGAGAGAAGCTTCAAAATAACCTGCCCTATAACAGGAAGTTAGCCTGCAAATGCCAGTGGGTGCACATAGGGCCGGGTGCGCACACAACAGCTGGCAGGTCAAGGTAAGCAGAAAAATCGCAGTGATAGTCTGATCTGAGGAATTTTCTGGAGGGAGTCAAGCCCCTGTCACAAAGCAAACGAGCCATGAAGGAAGCGGAGAATCATTACCATCTCCACCCCTTGATTACTGCCTTTATGGGAGTAGTCCTACTAGGGCAGCCTAATTTTCAAACCATTAATTTTAAACTGTAACATTTAAGACCCAGTCCAGACAGAGATTTGAACCGTGTTAGCAGCATTATAGCTAGAGAACAGCACACAGCTGGGTCTCAGGCCAGTTAGCGCCTCAGGCCCGGTCTACGGGTAAAAATCTGATCAACCTAGCTACATCGCTCAGGGCTGTGAAAAATGTCATGCCCCAGTGCTGTGGTTTAGACACAGTTAGGTCAATGGAAGACTTCTTCCACAGATGTAGCTAATTCACCTCTCCTCCGAGAGGTGGATTAACTCCATTGACGGAAAAACCCTTCAGTCAATGTAGAAAGCATCTGCCCTGTAACACCACAGTGGCTCAGCTGCAATGCCATAGCAGGGCCATTGGTGCATTGACAGGCCCTTAGTCTGCACTTAAGCAGGTCCTGGCTTGGAATTGGTCATCTTTGTTTCATAGCGTCTCCTTTAAGAAAAAGGCTCCTTACAATCTAAGAGTAACTTGAAACCAGGAACCGATCACGGTCTAGTTGACTGAGCTGGCTCATCTCAGCAGCCTTAAGCCCATTACATGCTGAAGGCCCAAGTTTAAGGGCACACAAACAAAAACTGAAGATGCGTCATAAAAAAAAAACTTACATAATGCAGCCGATGGACCAAATGTCCACTTCAAAGCTGTGTCCCTTCTTGCCCAGCACTTCAGGAGCTATATAGTTTGGCGTCCCACACAGGGTCTTCTTACGCTCACCATCATATTCTACTTTGGTTGCCAAGCCAAAGTCACCTTGAAAGAACGTTGGTGTCAGTCGGGGTTACGCACCAGGAAGACCAGCAGTTCTCAGGTGGTATCTTGGGGACATTCAGTGATCACAGACCTTGCTGCTGAGCCACAAGTGGCAGAATTATAGGCAACATCCTCCAAATATTGAGTCTTAAACGGCCTGAGAGGCTGGTTTCAGGGTAGCCCGCTCAGAAAGGGGGAAGAATTCTGACAGGGGGGTTAAGAAGCTATCCTGTGGTTTTGTGGCAGCAGAAGCTACTGCTCTCTCCGCTGTCCTTTCTACAAGCGAGCCAGCCCTCAAGGGAGAACGTCCCAAGGGCTCTTTGCAGCAAGAGAGGAAGAGAAAGGCTCCCTGGGCTGACAGATTCCTGGACATGCTTCTCCCCTGCGCAGACAAGTGGATAGGGAAGTGCCCTGCAGGTGTCCATACCTATTTTCACCTCCATGTCATCGTTGAGGAAGAGGTTGCCCAGCTTGAGGTCCCTGTGGATGACCCGGTTGCCGTGCAGATACTGGCAGCCCAGGATTGTTTGCCGCAGATAGTACCGAGCTTCGGGCTCTGTCAATGCTTTCCTCCGCTTATGCAGCTCCAACAGGGACTGGGGGCCAGGAGAGAGGCAGGATCATGAGCACCCCCCAGCTGAGAGCCAGTTCCCCCCCCCCCCCCAAATTCCATCCCATTTGTGTCCCAGGTGAGAGATCCCAACCCACCCTCCTGAAAACCAGGTATCCTCCCAGCCGCTTATCCAGCCCCCGGGGCAGGCCCAACCCATCCTGCCTCCCTCACCCTTCTACCCCGGTGCCTGGGCTGGGGACTCTCCCCCCGCGGGCATCACCCCGCCCTAGCGCCACTGAGGGGAGAGGTACCCTGGGAAGGTTTAGGAGGGTCCCCGCGCCTTGCTGCTCAGGGCTCCTGGCCCTTTAAGGGCTTGGAACACTCAGACAGGGTGGAACGCGGAGACAGGTTCAGAGTTCCGGCCGGGCGCCGCCCGCATCCCGCGTGGAACCCGGCCCCGGCCCCGGCCCCTCGGCCCGGCCGCCCGCCCCCTTCCCCAGCCCCGGCCCCGGCCCCTCGGCCCGGCCGCCCGCCCCCTTCCCCAGCCCCGGCCCCGGCCCCTCGGCCCGGCCGCCCGCCCCCTTCCCCAGCCCCGGCCCCGGCCCCTCGGCCCGGCCGCCCGCCCCCTTCCCCAGCCCCGGCCCCGGCCCCCTCGCCCCCTTCCCCAGCCCCGGCCCCGGCCCCTCGGCCCGGCCGCCCGCCCCCTTCGCCCAGCCCCGCCGCCCGCCCCCTTCCCCGGCCCCTCGGCCCGGCCCCTCGCCCCCTTCCCCAGCCCCGGCCCCGGCCCCTCGGCCCGGCCGCCCGCCCCCTTCCCCAGCCCCGGCCCCGGCCCCCTTCCCCAGCCCCGGCCATGGGAACAGCGGGCATCCGGGCCAGCCGCGGCCGGGCCCCAGGGACCTGCAGCGGCCCCGAGAGCCGACGTCTCTCTCCGCCCCGGGCGCGGGCCGGACCCGGCGGCGCGCTGGCGGAGTCGGGGCTCGCCCCCCCCCGAGCGCGCCCCCCGCCGCCCCCTCACCCTCCGGCGGCAGAGCTCCAGCACCACGAAGACGAAGTCGCTGTCCTCGAAGAAGCCCTGGAAGCCGACCACGTGGCGGTGCGCCAGGCTGCGGTGGATGGAGATCTCCATGGACATCTTCTCCTTCTGGTGCGGCTTCACCAGCAGCGACTTGGGCACGATCTTGCCCGCGAACACCTCCTGGCTCTGCAGCTCCGCGATCTCGTAGCACTTGGCGAAGCCGCCCTTGCCCAGGAAGCGGCCGCGCATGTAGCTCCGGCGGGTGCGGGGATCCACCAGCACCTTGGGGATCTCCTTGGCCGCCGCCCCGGCCCCGGCCCCGGCCCCGGCCGCCTTCCCGGGCTCCGCCGCGCCCGGCGGCTTCGCCCCCTTCCCGGCCACCGCGCTCATGATCCTGCCCCTGCCCGCGGCTCCCGAACCCTGCCCGGCTCCCCGCGCGGCTGCTGCCCGGCCCTGCGCCGACCTCGCTCCGCTCCGCGCCCCGCCGGCTCCGGGCCCCGCTCTCGCCGCCGCCGCCGCCCCGACACTGTAACAATTTCAAACCTCCAGCCGGAGCGTTACCAGCCCCCAGCGCGCTCCCCATTGGCTGCTAGGATTTAAAATCCAAGCCGCCCGCCGCTAGGCACCATGGGAACGCCCCCTCCCGCCCGGTTTAAAGGGACAGGCGCGCCCGGGCGCCGCGAGCCGACAGCCGCGAGCCGCTTCCAGGACACAGGGTCTCGCCCCGCAGCGTCGCCCCCGCGGGAAGCAGCTCTCCTGCCCCCAGCCGTGCTCCAGCCACCGTCCCCCAGCCGTGCAGCTCTAGGCCCAGCCGCTCTCCCCCGACATGTGATCCAGCCACCCCGCCACCCCCCCATGTGCAGCTCTAGCCCCAGACACCCCCTCCCACATGTGATCCAGCCACCCCCCCACACCCCCCATGTGCAGCTCTAGCCCCAGACACCCCCCCACCCCCCCCCGATGTGCAGCTCTAGCCCCAGACACCCCCTCCCACATGTGCTCCAGCCTCGTCCCCCGCAGCCCCCCCCACCCCCCGACGAGCATGTGCTCCAGCCACCCCCACCCCCCACCCCCCGATGTGCAGCTCTAGCCCCAGACACCCCCTCCCACATGTGCTCCAGCCATCCTCCCCCCGACGTGCAGCTCTAGCCCCAGACACTCTCCCCCCACATGTGCTCCAGCCCCCCCCACCCAGCCACCCCCCCAGACCTGCAGCTCTAGCCCCAGCCGCTCTCCCCCACATGCAAAGCTATGAGATCAGCCTTCCCTTCCCCCCTTGAACTTTCTCAGCTTCCTTCTGGTGGGTTACAGGAGCCTAGTCACAGGCTGTGGGCTCACTGCGGATGTGCTTCCTGCAGAGTAGGAGCTAGTGTAGCCCCTGCCCTCTCCGTGAGCCACTCCTGCGGCACACACCTCACTAGGAGGACTTTGGTTTCTCTTTTTTGTCACAGGCTCCTCGAGCATTTCAGGCCTTACCGGGGAACAGACATCTCTCAGCAAATAGTTTTCTTAACTTTTTATTATTGCCCTTTGCCTGCTGAGCTTATCAATACCTTGCTACTTAGGGACCCTCGAAAAGCCCCCTGCACGGGAGGAAATTCTAAGAGTGAGGACAATTCAAATGGAGATTCTAACTGTGGATAAAAAACAAACAAACACCCCCTAATGAAATGCTACCTTGGTAAATAGCCATTTAACTAGCGTGGCCTAGGGCCTGCTGGAAATTGACTGTTCCACAGCTCAGCCCTGGCTTCAAGTAGATTGAGGTTGGGTACTTTTGTTGATCATCATCATCTATTTACCACCGCCCCACAGCCTATGGTAAGGCTTTGAAACAAACACAGGAGGAGTCTTGCCGGGTGAGCAACCGCTTCTCTAGGCGCCTCAAGCTGCAGCCGGGTGTTTAGCTGTCCCCACAGCCACAGCTGCAGCCTGGGCAGGGAAGGGATTTTGAGCTGGCCCCTGTGAAACTGGCCTTATTGCAGAGTCTTAGTAGATGTGACTTCAACAAATTATTCACAAAGGAACTTGGCCTGCAGAGTCCCCCAACCCCCCTTCTTTAAAGTATGAGGTATTGGCTGCTGTTGAAGGCATCTGAAGGATGAAATAGTCTGACATGACAGGTTTCAGAGTAACAGCCGTGTTAGTCTGTATTCGCAAAAAGAAAAGGAGGACTTGTGGCACCTTAGAGACTAACCAATTTATTTGAGCATGAGCTTTCGTGAGCTACAGCTCACTTCATCGGATGCATACCGTGGAAACTGCAGCAGACATTATATACACACAGAAATCATGAAACAATACCTCCTCCCACCCCACTGTCCTGCTGGTAATAGCTTATCTAAAGTGATCAACAGGTGGGCCATTTCCAGCACAAATCCAGGTTTTCTCACCCTCCACCCCCCCACACAAATTCACTCTCCTGCTGGTGCTAGCCAGCTAGCTAGTCTGACATGGTGCAGCAACATCTATTAATTTCCTGTTTGTTATTTGACAAGTTAGCGTCAAAGACCCAAATGTTATTCAAATGGATTGAATTCACATTTAAATAACTCCAGTAAATTCATTAAAAGGGGCAAGTCTAAGTCTTCAGCTGTGCAAGTTAAAGCCCGCAAACAGTCTTTGCAGTAAGATTGATGTGACCGTAAATTCGCTTGCTCAGGCTCCATATTCCAAGGGGAGGGAGCACCGGCTACAGCGCACGAAGAGGCCGGGAAGCAGGGAGCTAGAGAACCGCGCTCCGCGGCCCGTGCGGACAGGGATCTGCCCACGGCAGCCGGGGACACAGCGGTCAGGGCCAAGGCACCTAGACACAGGGACTTGTCCACACAGTGATTTATTACAGGAAGCTAGAGTGGTCGCGGAACGCAAAGAAACAAGTAACTTAACACATGTCTGGGTCCCCTTACAGCGTCATTCCTGGAGCCGTGTTTTGGCGGGGGCCGCGCTCTGCAATACACCCCCTGCCCCCCTTCTCCTTTTCACACCCCCCACAGCTGGCTCCATTTCTAGGCGGCTCTGGCTGCTCCCCTGGAGTAAGAGGTGCCAGAGGCCGCGGGGGCTTCGTTCCGTCCATTGCGCCCGGGGAGCTGCGGCGCAGGATCACACATCGCCTGGGGTCCTTTGGCCTCGCAGCCGGAGCAGCGTCCCGCCCAGGGCCGCCCGCTGCAGCGCTTAGTTTGTGCCAGGCTTGAGCCCCGGCCGGCCGCTCCGGGCTTGCAGCACCAGGTGTGAGTGTAAACAAATCGCAGGAGCCCCAGCAGCTCCTTCACTACACGGGAAGCCCTGCCCCTCCCTAGCTGGTAGCACAGGGCTGCTGAGCAGGCCCCTCCAAGGAAGGGGGGGGGACGCGGTGCCTTTGTCCCTATGCAGGGAGGCGGGTGGTGGGACTCACTGCAGGACAAGAGTGGGAGCAGCTGGGCAGCTTTATTCGGATATTAGAAACTCAGCTGCCCTCAGCAAACCCCATGGAACAAGGTCAGGCCCCTGGCAGCTGCAGCCGGGGCAGGGAAGGGATTTTGAGCCCGCCCGTTTACAGCTCTGGCTTTAGGAGCCCTGTAACCTCAGTGACCGAGAAGGTTATGGAGAAAGGCAGGCTTTGGCAGAGGAGGTGTGAGCGCTCATCCTACCGCTGCCGAGATTGGGAGACCCACAGCGGCATCCCCAGAAGTCCGGGACAAGCTAACAGGAGGCAGGGAGCTGCCTTGGAGGCTTCCCCTGCCCTCCGAACCCAGCAAAAGGGAGAGAGAAAGCCACAGCCCCCCCACTGTCGCCGGGCTCGTTGCTCGGCTCCGACACCTTGCTCCCGAAACTCTCCGGCTCGGCCAGGCTGGGGTTCCCCCTGCCCGGAGCGCACAGCCCTGGAGAGCCGCCCGTGGGCGCACGCGGGGCGCAGGAACACCCCGAGCCTGCTGCTGCCGGCAGGGACCCCCCCCTTCTAGCCGGCGCCTGGAGGCGGGGTACATGGGGAGCAGAGCCCGCTCCTCCCCCCGCTGGCAGGCGGGGAACAATCCCGAACGGGTCACTCTCAGCGGGCGGAGCGGGAGCGCCCTGCAGGCAGCTCCGGTCCGCTCCCTCCAGCTGCCGGGGGACCCCCTCCCGCCCGGCTCTGGGGCCCGCTGGCCGCGGCACCCCGGGGTCCGCTCTCAGCCCCGCCGGGCCCTAGCAGACCGCGCAGCTGTGGCTCTTGCCGCTCCGGCGGGGCGGCTCCTTGGAGAAGGTCTGGGGCCGGCGGCGCTGCAGGGCCGGGCTGAGCCGCCCGGGCAGGTTGACCTGGCTCAGCAGCTCCTGGAAGAGGCCGACCACGTTGCGCCCCTGCTTGGCCGACGCCTCCAGGCAGGGACAGCCCCAGTCCCGCTGCGCGGCGGCGATGCGCGGGTCGGGCTCGCCCGGCGCCAGGTCGCTCTTGTTCCCCACCACCACGAAGGGCACCGCGCCCCGCTTGGCCTCCAGGATCTCGTCCCGCAGCCGCTGCACCTCGGCGAAGGAGTCGGGCTCCTGCAGCGAGTAGACCAGGGCGAAGGCGTCGGCGCGGCTGATGCAGAGGCGCCGCATGGCCGGGAAGCTGTAGCTGCCGCTCGTGTCCAGGATCTCCAGGCGGAGGCGCAGCCCGGAGCCCGCCTCCAGCTCCAGCTCCAGCTGGTGCAGCTCCTCCACCGTGCGCCGGTGCCGCGCCTCGAACGTGTCCTGCAGGAAGCGGCGGATCAGCGCCGTCTTGCCCACGCCCGCCGCCCCGAAGAGCACCAGGCGCACCCGGGCCTCGGGCGCCGGGCACAGGGCCATGCGGGGCGTCCGGGCAGCGTCCGACTCCTCCCGGGGGCAGCGCGCTGGGACCCTCTCGCCGCCAGACCCCGCTTGGCACCTGCGGGGAGCCGCCCGCGCCCGCCCTTTATAGCCGCCCGCCCGGGGCTCCCGCCGGCAGCCAATCCGCCCGCAGGGGAGGCGCTCGGGCCGGACTCGGCCGGGGACAGTCACCTGCGGGCCCCGCCCGAGGGCGAATGTCAGCGGCTGCCGGGCGGCGGGAGGGACGGGGGGCGGAGGGCACGGGACGGGGGGCGGGAGTGACGGGGGACGGGGGGCACGGGACGGGGGGCGCAGGTGCTTCCCCAAGCCTCTGGAGCGGGGCTCCGCCGTGCACCCCGCGGAGTTTGCGGGAGTTTCCTTTCAGCCCCCGAGCAGCACCAAGTTTCCTCGGGCTGCGTCCCCTCAGAGCCGCTAGGGGGCGCTCCCGGGCCGGGCTGCAGGGCCCCGGGGCCCCTTGCACCGGGCAGGCTCGGGCCGGGCCGGGCGCTGCGCCTCCGCCGGGCCTGGGCATCTTTGCAAACACGGGGCTGCCCCTTCCCGTAGCGCCGGCCAGAGCCCAGAGCCAAGCCGCGTCCAGCCCCGTTGTAACGGAGCCGGGCCCAGCATGGGGAGCTGGGCTGGACGTTTCCTGGGGGACACTGGGTGGGGTCCTTCGGTCAATGTCCCGGGGAAGGGGGCTGGGGGGGGCTGCCGCACCCCCTGGCTTGAAGCGGTTTCCATCATATACAGTTTGATTCATTGGATCCCAAGGCCTGGAGCGTCGCTGCCTGCGGGGGGCGCGGGGGTGTCCCACCGGCCAGGCCCCCACCTGCCTGCCCACCATCACACATGCCCCCTGGGCTGGCGCTAAGGGAAACTGCACTGGAGAGAACTGCGGCCCTCAGCCAACGGGGAGCAGGGCTGCTGGGAGGGTCGCTGGGGCAATGCCTTGGGGAGCGATGTGTAGCGGGTTCACGAGCCACAGGACCGAGCCCGGGTGCTCTTCTGCCAGACAGCTGGCTGCGAGAAGCCCCCAGGGGCTACCTGTGGGACCCCCATGCTGGGTAGGGAAGTCCGCAGCCTGGGTGGGTGGGTGGGTACAGGGAGGGGAGCTGCCCTTTGCTGCCCGTTCTCCAGGAGAGCTAGGCCATAGCTGGGTGTCAAAGCACCCAACGCTCCACGCCTGTGGGGAGGTGATGCTAGGGGAGTCTGAGCCTAAGGGGAAGAGAGAGAAATGGGGGTCCCATGCCACAGGGCAGAACAGGCCTCTTATCCACTATGTCAGATGCTGGGGGGGGGGAGGGTAGGCAGCAGGTCTCAACAGCTGGCCCTAAAGACACCGAGGTTGTGGTGCCTCTGAGTCTCCCAGTCTCCCCAGAAGGCAACAGCAGGTAGGGGAAGCGGGGTGTGTTGGGGGCTGGGATGGTTTTGTGTGTCTGGGGGTGGTTAGCGGGAACCTCCATAAGCTCAAATAGCCTCAAGGCTGTGGGAAGCGTCTCTGCCCTGACCCAAGCTGGGACTCTCCCGTCAGTGCTTTGGGCATATGCTGGAGGGCTCTCTGCACGTTGTGGCGAGGGTAGGTTGCAGTATTGATGTTGGTTTTGCACATGTGTTTTTGCAACACGACCTTATTGTGACAATCTAAATATCATCCCCCATAACGATGCAACATCACGATGTAATATATGGGACAGAACATGGAGGATTTAGGGGACTACTTGTCTGATACCCTCTGTGCCTTCTAGGAGAGCAGATCTTTTAGAACAGAGGCCCTGATAATTTATGTTAATATAACAAACACCCTAATGGTCTCGAGTGTGCACAACCCCGTGTGTACCAGGGCACCATTCGAGCCCCCTGGTGTATTCAGGGAATTTCCAGTGAAAAGGTTTTCCATGAAGTTATCAGCTACCTCCAGTGCTGTGTTACGGTTTAACACGCCCACCTCCCACATCATGGTGGGCATGAACAAGGGGCAGAGGAATGAATCCAGTTGGTCTTTCCCCTTTCCACCTGGGAAACACCTACAGGGAGCTGGGGAAACAGGGGTGGCCTTGGTGCTCCATTAGGGAATAGGGATGAGCTTTGGAAGGAAGAGTGAGGGGCTTAGGAGAAGAGAGGATGATGGGAAAGAAAAGAGCAGAACAGAAGGGCGGGGGAGAAAATTGCTGAGGGGCAGAGTAAACAAGGGGAGGCTGAAGCAAACCTGACCTTGAAGAAAAGTAACTGCTCTGATTGTGGACAGCCAGCGTGACCAGCTGTTGGGCACAGTGCCCCGTGAGAACATGTTCAGGGGGAAGGTGCTGCCCCCAGACTCCGGATGGGTCCCCACCATCGCCGGCAGAGCACCACTGCTCGGGAGTGTGGCCCTGCCTGGTCCTACAGCATGGCCCAGCTGACACCACAAATGAGCAGCTTTTAGCTGAGCCCCTCGTGTGGGTCACATACAGATCTGTAAATGCACACAGGCTGTCAGCCATTCTGATACCACATTGCTTTCCTTCCCCAGAACTTTGAGGCTGAGAGAAGTGTGCAACTTGCAGGTGGCTTGGGCTATTTTATCTCACACTTACCGGGAATATTATTCATCTTCCCAAGAAAAGACACTACTGAATGGATTGTGTGTTCCTCCCTTTGTCTATTGTTCATCGTATACTGTATATTGTTCTCCCTGAGAGTGAAACATGATGTCCTACTGCAGTGAGTTTGCCAGATAATGTATCTGAGGGCATGGCCAGTGGCTTGGCTGAGGTGTGTATTGACTGGCCTTGCTGGGTGTGGTCCTCTTGGGATAGTTTTTTGCTTTGCATAAAGTGTTGTGCGTGTAAAGCAATCAGACGTTAACACCCTGATGGCTCTTATTGCTTCCATGGAAGATGACATGCCAGCCGGTCACATCCTTCCCGCAGATTAGTTGGAGTTGACTGGCCATGGAGCGTGGGTGTTGCTATCGTGTACAGGGGGCAGTGATCTTCATCTAGGTCAGAGCTGGTGACCTAGAGGTGAAGAACTCTGTCTTGGCTTTCCAGTCCCCTGAGCCAGACGGGTTGGGACAGGTGACCTAGACAGGAGAGACTCTGTAGCCCATTTCCAGTCCTTTGAGCTCATCTCGCCTCCTTCATTTGAAATGAGTTTTTTTAAAATATTTCATTTCTCATTTAGTTTGACATTAAGAGAAAAGCTCTCTCAGCCACGACTTAGAGAATGGGGATGCTTTAAAGGTGACTTGCAAAGGAAATTAACTTAAGGATTAGGTGTTTGCCCTTTTTAGTTGTTTGTGGGGGGTTTTTTTAATGGGGTGAAAGCTGGAAAAGACCCCTTCCTCCAGGTATTTTTCTGCTCATTTTTTAGTTGGGATGTCCAGAATGTCAAGTCTGGCCTCCCTGGGTTCTGGTGAAGGACTTGGTGGAAGTCTAACATGTGTATTGGGAGCTCTCCCATGCCTGTAAAGAGTTAACACCTCATCCCTTCGATTAAAGACACCCTTTCTCCCAAGAGTGTACTAGGCATTGCAGGTAAAGATGTGTAAACAAAAATATGTCTGGCTGAAACGCTCTCTCCTTCTCGGTAGTTTGGCTTCCAGGCTTTGAGCTTCCAAGGCAGAGGGACTTGGATTTCTCACGTAAAAACCAAACAGAATGATTATTTATTTTTTTACAAACTCCTTCTGGGCCTTGCCTAGTTGCCCATAAATTAAGAGCTCTGAGGTCCACTGAAAGATATTCCTCATCCACTTTGTCTCTCTAATGTCTTGGGACCAAGACAGCTACAACACCACCGTTTATTTTCTAACCTACCCCTCATGTTTATGCTTGTCCTGTAGAGAGTGGGATGTTTCGTTTTGGTCCCCTTGGGCGTCGCCATTGCACTGGGGTTCTGAGTTTGATAGTTTCCCTCGCAGGTATTTCTTGTTCTAAAGCCCCATCTAGCTCTGTTTGGAGAGTCCCTGTTGCTCGTTCCCCTGTGGACCTGCTGAGTCCCCTGCTCTCGGGATGATTCTGCTGGCAGGGGTTCCTTTAGATGCCCCACACTCTCTCACAGCTGCTGTTTGCTGTGAGGTTTTCACTGGAAGGAAACTCACTCTGCAGGCTCCCAGCACTCTCTGTTCCTGCTCAAATATTTACCTGCAGAATTAATGAGAAACAGTTTTCGTTAGTCAGCGAGTGGAGGTGAATGCCAGGGCTGCCCACACAGCAGGAGATTAACTGATTAATGGCAGGAGGGAAGGAGGTGTCAAACTGTGGGTCAAGTTGTGTATCCATCCATCAGCCTCAGCAGATGGAGCCCAATGAACCCCAACTGGATCCTGCCACTGCTCCAGGGAGACTTCAGATGATGCCCTCTGTGCCAAGGCTCACATTGAGCCATCTCTGGAGGCGCACGGCCCCAGCCCAACTCCAGTGGGTCCATCAGCTTCCTCAGAATCTAAATGTCACAGCGATGGTTTCTATTTTAGCCTCCCTGGTTGGGAAGATCCATCCCAAATGTGACCTGGATCCAGGCTGCAAGCCTTCTTCTCTCTCTCTCTCGTGCTGGTTCACACAGGTGCGAGTGAGAGGAGAACTGGGGCCTGAGCCTACAGATGGACCTATCGGGATGGAAGGTGTTAAGAGCACAGGGAGGTTGCTGCACTGGGGGACAGTGATGGAGGGGGGACTGTACGTGAAGGAGTTTGGTGATGGGGGCAGGGCCCTGTAATGGCCAGTGTTCAGACCTGCCGCTTTGTGGGTCTCCAGGCCTAACTCCTGGCAAAGGAGGCGGACGGGGCTCTGAGCTTGTGACGCCCACTGGCTGCAGCAGTGGCCATGGAAAGCAACGCAAGCTGTCCTGTACTCAGGTATCACATTTGAGGGAAGGATTGCTTTTCCATCACAATTTCCTAAGCCAGTTGCTAAGGCTACACACTAGCAGTTCAGCATTTGGAGCTGAGGTGATGTGAACTGCCATGGCCATCTCAGTGAATTGTTAACTCTGGGCCCTAAAGATGACCATTCAGGGGAAGATTTTTCCCAAGACACAAATGGCTGTCAGGCACCTAGCTGCCCTGGAATTTGATTGGGAGGTAGAGGTGCCTGTCTGCCGTCAGGGCCTTTGAAA